TACACCCTGGGGAAACATTTTTTTCACCCCTCAGGGGATACCCACTTTCACACTTTAGAAACATACACCTCTCAGGGGATACGGGCATACACCCCTGAGAAAAAATTTCCTCTCAGGGGATACGAAATTTCACATGAGAAACATTTCACCTCTCAGGGGATACGAATACCCCCACTGAGAAACATAAACCTCTCAGGGGAAACGACATTTTCACTTCTGAGAAAAAAAAAAAAAACCTTCAGGGGTTTCGAAAATACACACTGAGAAAACAAAACCCTCTCAGGGGGTACGACATACACAAATGAGAAAAAAATACACCTCTCAGGGGGTTTCGACATACCACTGAGAAACATACAACCCCTCAGGGGGTACGGGCATACAAAACTAGAAACATACACCTCTCAGGGGATACGAATACACATGAAAAAAACAAAACACCTCTCAGGGGGATACGACATACACCCCTGAGAACATTTCCCCCTTCAGGGGGGTACGACATTTCACACTGAGAAACATACACCTCTCAGGGGATACGACATACACCTGGAAACAACACCCCTTTGGGGATACGACATTTCACACTGAGAAAAATACACCTCTCGGGTTTTACACATAACACTGAGAAAAAATTTAAACCCCTTTAGGGGAAAACGACATACTGGCCATAATTTTGTTATATAAACTATATAATTTAAAAATTTCCCACCCCTTTAAAGTTTGCAAATTTTTTTTGTTGTTTTTTTTCCCCTCGACAATTAACAATAATTTCAGTACTTGTTCTGTGTGCGAACGGGTCAGTTTTTTATCTGTCAGTAGTTAGATTGAAATTATGGGGAAAGAATTATTTTTAAACAAGGGGAAAGCGCTAAAACCCGGGGGGGGTTTTTACCAAAGGGGCCCCCGGGGGGGAGGGGGGGGGGTGGAAGGCTTTTGGGTTAATTTGGGGAAAATGGGGGCCCAGATCCAATTCCCTAAAACAAGAGCCCTCACCAAAAAAAAAAGGGAAACCTTTCCCCTTTAGGGGCAGAAATTATGGACATGAATTAGAATTTGTATCCCGGGAAACAAAGTTAATATTTTAAGTCGTTAATGTTTTTTTAAGGCAAGACGTCATCTAATACACAAAACCCAATTTTTTCCCGGGGACCCTTTTATTTGTATTCCTTTGGGGTATTTTTGGGGAAAAGGTTTTTTGGGGGGCAACGCCCCCCAGGGGCCCCGGGTTTGGGGACCCGGCCTCTGGTGGATAAAGGGTCTGATCAACCCGGCTGTTATTTTTTGGCCGCACGCAACCCGAGTAGAACCCCAGCACAAATTGGTCAGTTAAATGCTTTTTTGGTTTCCCGTCCAGTTCCCGTTGAAAACTGCAGGGGTCTTTTGGTTTTTGTCCCCCTTTTGTATGGGTGGGAGGGCAGTTGAAAAAGTCATGGGCCCGGGGCCCTTTTTGTATTGGGCCCCTTATTTGTGCTAGGGAACCCCTGCTTTTCCCCTTTGGGGGGGTGTTGCATCGGCTCCCGTTTTCTTTTGCTTTTTTTAGGGTGTTTTTTTTTGTGTGCAATTTTGGTACTTGTCCCTCTAGGATTTTTGGTGTATTTAAACATGTATCCCTCCCTTGCGTTCCCGGGAAAAACAGGTTTTTTGGAAAACCCCAAGCGCTCCCAGTAATTGAGGGTTTTATCTTTCCCTTATGCCGCCGGTGAAAGGTTTTCTGTTCATTTTTTTAGGTCAGCCAAATTTTACTTTTTCCTTGAAAGGTGCTGTTAAGGGAAAAATGCAGCAATATTCCCGCCTAGATTGAACAAGTGAACCGGAAAAGGGGGTTTATCTTTGGGCTTGGCCTCCCTAGTTTTGAAGGTTCTCATTATCCATCCTGTCATTTTTCTAGAAGATGCGATTGATAGAATGTTTGCTCTTTGAAGGTGAGATCCTCTGTCATTATCACTCCCCAGGTCTTTTACATTAGTTTTTCGCTCTATTGTGAAGTTGGATTGCTTTATACTTCGATACAATTTTAATTTCCTCCTTTTTCCCATATCGAAGAAATTGAATTTCTCATCATTGAACTTCATATGTTTTCTGCGGCTCATTTAAAGATTTGGTTGATGTCCCCCGGGAGCCTTGCAGTGTCTGCAATGGGGACACTGTCATGCAATTTCGGGTTGCAAATGAAGACCGGTGCTGTCTATGTCGATATGAGGATGAGAAACAGAATGGGAACGAGTACTGTGCCTTGTGGAACAGAGCTTTTCACAGTAGCTGCCTCAGATTTTACTCTGTTGACTACTACTTTTGGGGTTCTATTTGTTAGGAAAAATTTTAGATCCATCTACCAAATTTTCCTGTTATTCCCTTTTGCACGCATATTGTGCGCTATTGTACCTGGTCACACTTGTCAAAGACTTTTGTAAAGTCTTTGTATATTCATCTGCATTTGTCTTCTAGAGGGTCCTGGACCTTGTCATAGTTTGGGCCAGTAGTTGGGAAAAAGCAGGGGCGACCTGCTCTAAACCCTGCTGCCCTGGGTTGTGTAACTGATCTGTATTTAGATGGGTTACAGTCTTGCTTCTTAGAAACCCCTTTTAAAGATTTTTATGATATGGGATGTTAACGTTATCAGTCTGTTGTTCCTTGTTATTGCTTTACTGCCACCTTTGTAGACTGGGCTATGTGAGTGAGTGTGGGACGACTCCCGTGTCTATGTTGGATAGAGGTTTTGCTGTATATACATTTTTTTATAATATTTAAAATTTTAGAACTTTGATCATAACTATTGCGACCCTGAATGGGGCACAATGTATATAATGTATATTACCTGTTTTTTTATAATTTTATATTGCTTATATTGCGATAATAGCTAATCGAAATATATTGCTTTATATTATTATTTGACTTAGTTATATATTAGGTAGGATGTCTATTTATATATATTTTTCAGTGCTCTAATTAAAGTCTTGAGTGTCTAATACTGTAATTATCGCTCGTTGCTCGTTACTCTGCGGCTTCTCGGTGTTGCTGGGGAGCAGCAGTCCACGGAGTCATGTGATCAGGGGGGTGATCACACCTCGCCTGGAGTAGTCTTCCTGGGCGGCTCAGTCTCTGGTCGGTTGGATTGTTCTCCTAACAAGACGTCCCACACTCCTCTCCCTTGTGGGCCCTTGTTGGAAGATCGTCTCTGTCTTATTATTATTGTTGTTGGTTCTGTAGAACTCTGTTCACAGAACATTGTATAGACTTAGTGATTTTCGACGTAGTACAGTGGACCCCCGCATAACGATCACCTCCGAATGCGACCAATTATGTAAGTGTATTTATGTAAGTGTGTTTGTACGTGTATGTTTGGGGGTCTGAAATGGACTAATCTACTTCACAATATTTCTTATGGGAACAAATTCGGTCAGTACTGGCACCTGAACATACTTCTGGAGTGAAAAAATATCGTTAACCGGGGGTCCACTGTACTGAGGTTGTGTCGCTTAGACACTCTGAGTAACTCAGGTCCTGAGCTGTAGCTTCTGACCTAACTTGTACTGGTATCTGTGTACTGTCACAGTCAGGGATTTTCTAATGCTGAACTTAGATTCAGTAGTATGGGAGTTTTGTGACTTTTGTGGAGGATCTGCTGATGGTCCGTACTTAGTGTCGTTATATTATCTCCTTGTTCCTGAATGTGTCGCTGTTGCTTGTTATATTGCTGTTCGGCTTATCAGTCATTTTATTGTTCAAGCAAGCTGTTCTGATTGCCAGGTTGGTCAAGAAGTTAGTTTATGTGAGGACTTTTAGTCAGTCACTGGTTAAGTCTAGTCGATTCTTGAGACATAGCGAACTACTTAGAGCACTTACACACATACACACACAAACTTACACACATACACACAAACTTACTTGTATATATTTGTATTATGTTATTAAATGTTAACAATGTACCAGACGGTACTTAAAAGCCATAAATATGTGATATGTACCTTCAGCACACTACTACTGTACAACAGAGAGAAGTGTACCAACTTGTATCCTATATTATATTCAATTGATTAATTTAATTTACTTTGATAATATACGCCTAGACAATTTTGTTATAAATAAATTTATTAAATTTTAATTTATTTAGTTAGTAGCCTACCAGTTGTAATCCTAAAGAACTATTGAATTATACTGAATTCTAATGGATAATTGGACCAGGATACTGACTACTTTTTACAAAACCCAGTAACAGGCTGGATGCTAGAAGGGCAGTCCTGGACAACAGAGGGTATCTCCAATTACCCAAGGAAAACAGAAGGGTACTCCATGTACTACAGGAAAACAGAGGGTAGCTCCAAGTACCAAGGAAAACAGAGGGTAGCTCCAAGTACTGAGGAAAACAGAGGGTAACTCCAAGTACCGAGGAAAACAGAGGGTAACTCCAAGTACCAAGGAAAACAGAGGGTAGCTCCAAGTACCAAGGAAAACAGAGGGTAGCTCCAAGTACCAAGGAAAACAGAGGGTAACTCCAAGTACCAAGGAAAACAGAGGGTAGCTCCAAGTACCGAGGAAAACAGAGGGTAGCTCCAAGTACCAAGGAAAACAGAGGGTAGCTCCAAGTACCAAGGAAAACAGAGGGTAACTCCAAGTACCAAGGAAAACATGGTAGTCCAAGTCCCACGGAAAACAGAGGGTAGCTCCAAGTAACAAAGCAAACAGAGGGTAGCTCCAAGTACCAAAGGAAAACAGAGGGTAAGCATCCAATACCAAGGAAAACAGAGGGTAGCTCCAATACAAGGAAAACAGAGGGTAACCCAAGTACCAAGGAGAAAACAGAGGGTAGCTCTCAATACCGAAGGAAAACAGAGGGTTACTCCAAGTACCAAGGAAAACAGAGGTACTCCAAGTACCAAGGAAAACAGAGGGTAGCTCCAAGTACCAAGGAAAACAGAGGGTAACTCCAAGTACCAAGGAAAACAGAGGGTAGCTCCAAGAACCGAGAACAGAGGGAAACTCCAAGAACCAGAGGAAAAACAGAGATGAGGGTAGCTCCAAGTACCAAGGAAAAACAGAGGGTACTCGCAAGTACCAAGGAAACAGAAGGTCGCTCCAAGTGGACCGAAAGAAAAACAGAGGGTAAACTCCCAAGTACCAAGGAAAACAGAGGTAGCTCTCCAAGTACCACGAGTAAAACAGAGGTAGCTCCAAGTACCAAGGAAAAAGCAGAGGTACACCACGTACCAGGAACAACAGAGGTAGCTCCAAGGGACCAAGGAAAACAGAGGGTAACTCCTCAGTAACCAAGGAAAACCGAGGTATAGCTCCAAGTCCAAGACAAACAGAGGCGTAGCTAGCTTCCAAGTACCAAGGAAAACAGAGGGGTAGACTCCAAGTACCTAAGAAAAAGAGGGTAACTCCAATACCACTGAAAACAGAGGGCTAGCTCCAAGTACCAGAGGAAAACAAGGTAGCTCCAAGTACCAATGAAAACAGAGGGTAACTCCAAGTTACCAAGGAAACCAGAAGGGTACCTCCAATACATCAAGGAGAAACAGAGAGTAGTGCTCCAAGTACCAAAGGGAAAACATATTGTAACTCCAAGTACAAGGAAAATCAAGGGTAACTCCAAGTACCAAGTAAACAGAGGGTAACTAACAGTACCAAGGAAAAACAGAGGGTAGCTCCAAGTACCAAAAGAAAACAGAGGGTAACTCAATTTCCAGCAATCAAAAGCCCCTCATCCACCAATACGTTTGAATAATATTTTTCCAGTTGAACTCCCAGAGTTTATATCTCAACCACAACCAACCATCGAAGAAGCTTACCTGGAGAGGGCATTCGGGGGTCAACGCCCCCGCTGCTCAGTCTGAGAGCCAGCCTCGGCTCGGTCTGAGACTGGAAATCCTCCCGCACTCCAAGGTGTTTAAACAATATTTCTCATCACCGCAGTTTGGAACGTCCAGAATGGACGATAAAAAAAAGAATCAATTACCTACTTACAAAACCCTCGACAAGTTTGCAATTAATTACCTAATCAGTTTTCCTTATGTGCTTATGTTCATTAAAGTTCTTATTTTTCACATTTGCGTATTTTTCCCTTATGTGAATATTATTTTTCCCTATGTGCTTATTTTCATTAGAGTTCTTATTTTAATGTTCTTAATTTCCATAATTCTATTTTAATGGTTCTTATTTTTTCCTTTATGTTCTTATTTTAAAGGTCTTATTTTTCTATGTCCTTAATTTAAATGTTCTTATCTTTCCTTATGTTATTATTGTATTTGTCTCTTTATTTTCCCTTATGTTCTGTTTGAAAGGTCTTATTTCCATTTATGTTCTTATTTTAAAGTCTTATTTTCCTTATGCTTCTTATTTTAAAGGTCTAATTTTCTTTATGTTACTTATTTTAAAAGGTCTTATTTTCCCTTATTTTTATTTTTGTTCTTATTTTCCTTAATGTTCTATTTTAAAAGGAGGGGGGAAAGTTCTTATTTTCCTTATGTTCTTATTTTATGTACTAATTTTTCCTTATGCTCTTTATAACCCTTGTCTGATTATTTCTCCTTACGTGCTTATTTTTCAAGATTAACGCATTTCCCCATTCCTTAATAATACACCTTTAATCAACAGTTTAGTTTTCCCACGAACAATAAACGACCGCGAAGGACTCGTATTGTTTTCCATTCCTTATTAAATACAACTTTACACGTGTTTAGTTTCCCACGAACATAAACGACCCGAAGGACGTCGTATTTCCATTCCTTATTAAATACAACTTTACACGTCTTTAGTTTCCCACGAACATAAACGACCCGAAGGACGTCTACAACATAGAAGACACCACAAGTTCAAGAGCATTCTATAACTTACTGAAGAGTGTTGTGAAGTGGCAGGACATGCCATCGTCACAACCTAGCTTGTTCACCATGTTGCACGATGCTTTGCAAGTGAGTACTGCAACACATGTGCTTGTTGATATCTCTGCCTTTACCTTCAGCTGATATATAAGTAAGTTAGAATTGTTTTAAATTCACATTGAAAATTATCAAGTGTATTTTTTAGGCATGCAAAAAGAGGACTCCGTAAATGATAGGTAACCTTGTATATTTATCTAATATAGATTAAGGTTAATATATATATAAATATATATAAATGTGTGTGTGTGGTGTGTGTGTATGTCCTCACCTCACCTTGTTGTAATCATCAATTTTGGTTGCAGGGGTCGAGTTACAGCCCTAGGCCCCGCCTCTTCACTGGTACTACTAGGTCACTCTTCATGTTCCATGAGCCATATCATATCTCTTTTTAAAAGCAGTGTATGGTCCCGCCTCCATACATCACCCCCAGACATTTCCCACTTCCTGTTACTCTATGAGTGAGGAAATACTTATCCTAACATCCCTGTGATTCACTGAGTCTTCAACTTCTAATTGTGACACCTTGTATCCCCTGTGTCCCACATTGGAACATGCTATCTCTGTCCACCTCTGAATTCCTCAATAATATTACGTTGATATCCATGTCCGCCTATCTCTCCTGTCCTCCATTGGTCGTCAGCTCGATTTCCCTTAACCCTCACTCGTAGGACATGATGGCCCTTAGCCTGGGACATTAGAGAAAGTGCAAACCTTTGCACTTCCACTAATTTCTTACGTAACTTGGCTAGGTGTGTTTTCCAAACTGGATGCTGCATACTCCCATTTAAGGCCTGGACAACACGGTGTACAGAGTCACAACGATTTCTCATTGTAGAATGTCGGAATGCTGTAATTAGATTTGCTAGGGCACCCATATGCTGCAGCAGTTTATATGGTTGACGTGCACTTCAGGAGATGCGTTCTTGTTATACTCCCCCAAGATCCTTCCTTGAGTGAGGTTTTGTAGTCACTGTCCCCCTAGACTAAACTCCGACTGCAGTCTTCTTTGCCCTTCCCAATCTTCATGACTTAGCGCTTGGTGGGGTTAACTCCAGGAGCCTGTTTCTAGACCAGGCCTATAGCCTGTCCAGATCCCTTCGTAGCTCTGCCTGGTCCTCTTCTGATTAAATTCTTGTCATAAACTTCGCATCTGCAAACAGGGGCACTTCTGAGTCTATTCCTTCTGTCATGTTGTTCACATATACCAGAAACAGCACCGGTTCTAGGACTGACCCCTGTGGAAACCCGCTTGTCACAGGCCCCCACTCTGACACCTTGTGCCTTCCCTGTTATCCCTGCTTGGTCCTCCAGCTTATGCACTAATCTCTTGTGTGGAACTGTTTCAAAAGCCTTCTTACAATCCAAGAAAATGCAATCTACCCACTCCTTTCTCTCTTGTCATACTCCTGTCACCATGTCATAGAACTCCATGTAGGTTTGTGAAAAAACCCCCCACAGGGATTTCCAACCCTGAAGCCTTACTGTTGGTTGTTGATAACTCATTCATTTCAAGGTGCTCCACCACACTTTTCCTGATAATCTTCTCCATGACTTTGCATTCTATACATGTCAGTGACACTGGTCTGTAGCTTAGAGCTTCGTATCTGTCTCCTTTTTTTTTAAATTGGGACTACATTTGCTGTCTTCCATACCTCAGGTAAGTCACCCTTTTTCGATAGATGTGTTGATTGTTGTTAGTGGTACACATAGCATCTCTGCTCCCTCTCTCAGGACCTGATTGAGACATATCCTGCCCCATCGCCTTTGAAGTATCTAGCTTGCTTAGTAGCCTCTTCACTTCTTCCTCGGTTGTATTTATTGAGTCCAACACTTGATGGTGTACCCCAGCTCTCCAGCTTTCTGGAGTCTCTTCTGTCTCTTCTGTGAAGACTTCCTTGAATCTCATGTGATTTCCTCCCACATACTCTCACGGTCGTTTCTTGTGATCATCCCTTCCTTTCCTTCCTCAGCCTGAAATACCAGGTCCTTTAAAACTGTTTTGTTTCGCTTCCTCCTGATGTGGCGAGTACAACAGCTTCGGGTCAGATTTGCTTTTTGCTGCTATGTCATTTTTTGTATTATCGTTGGGCCTCCCTTCTTACCTAAGCATATTAATTTCTATGACTGCTCTTCCTTTGCCTGCTATATTTTGCTTCCATTCTTTAGCACACTTGGTGATTGGCCTTCTCACGACCTTTGGGTGAACTAAGGGCTCATCCTGGCCTCATATTTCTGTTACCCTTTGTATACAACATCTCCTCAGCTTCAGGAAAATTCCACCATTGCGTGGTAGTCCCCTCCTGTCCTTACTGCTATCCCTCTCCACTTTGTTAAGTCTATGTTTTGAAGCTACAGAACCATGAGGTCACTGGCCCTGAGGGGTCTTTCATATGTGATGTTCCACAATATCTGCACTGCTCATGGTGAAAATTAGGTTCCAGTCTAGCTGGATCGCTCCTCTAGTCTTTCTTCGTCTGATATTGTCCCTTATGTGTTGGTACATGAGTTTTCCATACCACCACCATACGTTTCTGGCCCGCCACATGGCTCCCAATCCTCACCAGTCAATTTCTTTGTGATTGAAGTCACCCACAATCAGCACTCTGCCCTGCACACATGAGCCCATCTGACCACTTCAGCCATTGTGTCAACCATTCATCTGTTACACACTCATAAAGCACTTGCCTTGGCCTCCTCCTCTTCCTGTGGTGGATATACATCATTCACTGCAATTAACCACCTTGAAACCTCCATAACGGACGTGTTCCTATTATGTAGTCCTCTTGCTTCTCCTCTGTCTCCTCTCTCCAGCTCATCAAAATCCCATGGGTTTTGATGAGGCAGTAATGTAGGTAGGGACGGTTGCCTCTTCTCTCCACCCCCTCATTCCCCTGTCCTTTCCTCTGGAACTGATATACCTTTGGAAAGATGGCATCTTTCATCATTCGCTGTGAGCTTGGATTCTTTGAGAGTTATGATGTCCGGATGATTTGCCTCTTTGATTCTTTCGTGCCACTCCTCTCACTATTCATTTTACCCAACAGTGTATCTGGATCAACTATACCTCAGGAGGCAGGTAGGGGAAATTTTTACCGCGCGCGCTCACCGAAAAATCGAAAAAATATGGAATAGTGAGTTTATAATTCTGTAAAGAACTAGCTCAACTTTTGCAACACAATGGTAACCAAATGAACATGTCTACGACTGATTCTACAAGAATTATAGTCATTTATATCAGGTTAAGGTGACGGCGATGTTGGGTACCGGAGTCTGCTCACGGCCTAAATATTTTTTGGAGTTATTTTCTTGTTTTTATCGCCTTTTCTTGCATTATTCTTTCTAATATAATAACAGACTATTTGGTCATCAAAATCACAAAACAGTAGGCGGGGACTTATCCGTAGACTTGAGCGACAGCTTGGGAACCAGATGTGGTAACGGTCGGCAGAGTTCCGCGCGCTGAGGTGCCAGCCAGGAATACGCCCATTATTACGCTATTCAGCTTATTATATCAACTCTAGCGGGCTTATTTTGTCTATACAAATTGATCTAATATTATATAAGAACACTCTAAAATACATACAAACATTTTATATACTCTAGTACTGAATAAATAGGCCATAATATGAGCCAGAGAGATTATCGTGGACATATATCGATATAAAAAGTGTTATACTGCCTCTCCATGCCGTCACTGAGTAAGAAGAAAACGGTGTTTTGAAGAGCTACTGCACTAGAACATTCATTTTTAACAAATACACCCAAACAAACGCGATTTTTTTCGCGAAATTTTTTTTTTTTTTTTTTGAGACGGGGGGGCGGGCCGTCGTTTCCCGGCCCGATAATCCCCTCGGAGTAACTTAATTCACCTAATGTCCAAACGTCCCCGAGCTTTAAATTACTGAATTAAATGGAATATAATACTCACAAAAGTATAGTAGAATAATGAGATTTCCTCTCTTCCGTTTTTCGGTGAACAAATTTTTGGAAATATTCCAAATACTTAGATGAAGTTATGTGGGAGTAAAAGGCAGATTTTTTTGCAATATTCCGGGACCTAACAAACGTTATTTTTTTGTGAAATAAAGATACGTTTATTTAGAGAAAAGGCTCAACGAATATTAGTATAACATTGATCTCTCGCCCCAAGTGTCCAAACTTCCTTGCGTAGTCCCATATAAGAGAATGTTTAGGCCCCAAGGGGCCATTTATCAGTAAATCAGTCATTTCTCAGTTTTGTTTGAAGGTATAAATTTTGATAAATATTTTCAAAGAAAGAGTGAAACACTTTGTCTTGGTGTACCAAAACTGGAGAAATTCGGACAGTAAACAACAGATTACAGATTTTTGCCCCTACTGCCGCCACGCATTTTCCTCTCCAACACTGTTCAGTGGTCCTGTGGGGTTGGAGACCTGGTAGTGTATGTGGGATTTCTACAGCATAGTGAGAACGATAGAGCTGTAAAAGAATATTGTGGTTTGTGTTGAGATAGCCATGTTTGGGCCTGTGGGGTTCTGAGTGTGGTTTCTTTGTGTGCTTTTGCTTGTTGCTCTGCCCAGCATAGGTTGTCCTCAGCTGACTCTGTCTTTGTCCACTCTTTCTTACTAGTCCCCTCTTGTCTCTTGTGTCCTTCTTCCCTCAGCTACTGTTAGTGCTGTTCTTGATCTGTCCGTGGTCGAAGGAACACAATTTTGTATGTTGATGATGTCCTTCACCATGTTTCTCTTGAGGATTTTTGTTCGGCACCATTTCTGTCCTTGAAAATATAACTATCTAGTCCCATGTCCTCCTCACCATATTCCTTTGATAATGTTTTCAAATCTTCTGTTTTTCTTTCTTTCTGTCTTACATTGTGATCCCTTTGCTCTCCTGAAGCCATGATATCTTACTGACTTTCTCCCTCTCCTCCTCCCACTGCTTTTCTTCCCTTAGTGTCCTGGGTCCCGTTTGTGCAAAGCCATTATCTCTCCTTATTTTTTCCTGTAACTCTTGTGGCCATAGTAATGCCACTGCATGGAAACCTTCACTA